CAAACAGCATTGGTTTGGTTTTATTCTTAGTTATTAAAAAACCTACATACGAACACACCATTTTCCCATATTCACCAAGAAAACACAAGCACACGCTGATTCAAACCAACATTTCTACGAAACTAACAAAATAAATTAAACTATGAAATAGCGTGTACAACAAAGTGTCATGCACAAAGTTGAAGCAGAATAAAAAACCCAAAACCCTAAAAGTTAAAATAATTTTTTTCTCTAGTGGCCCTGCAGGTTAGAACACCTCTTGAGCTCTCAGCAGTCATTTCCTACAAAGCTTATGAAATGCTTTTACTCCGAGTCTGTAAAATAGTCAAATTTGGAGAATGTTTTGCCAGTTAGGAGCAATTTCCTACTCTGAGATGTTTGACAAATCAAAACATCAGGGTGTGACTCTGAGGAGGAAAACTACAAGGAAATGTAAAAAAAATAATAATAATAATAAAAAGGGCAAGGTGCTTTAAAGTACAAGATTCAAGACGAAGTGATACAAAAACCAGACTTATCTGTATAATACTTATCTGAATAATCTAAATCTTGCATAGAACGTTTACCTGTAGGTGGATGATGCTTTTTGGTGTCCTGTTGGATTCGGGTGTGCAGGCTGAAGAAAATGAAGCTCTTGCCGTGCTTCTTGACTATTTCTCGCTGTGGAATCTGAGGCATCTATAGGCGTCTAAACATCCATATGTGTTTTAGCTCAAAGGTGACAGATGAGTTTGGAATCTTTGTTAACACTTTAGCATCTATAAGCAGTTTTAAAACAATGAATGCAGTATTTATAACAGACTGTAGTGTAGTTGGCTGTGTTTATTAATGTAATTGTGAACAAATACAACTTTTTCCATACGTGGATGCTGAAACAGATAATCTGGCAGTATAATTAAAAACAACTTTTTTCATAGAAGTTACCATTTCTGACAATTACTCTACTTTAATAAAAACAAATTTCCTTATACCTGCTTACAACTAGCCCACATTACAGAGTGCCAGGGACAGACTGACCATCACACTGCACCGGGCAGCTGCTCAGCTGCAGCGAACGCTGTCTGTGTCTATCAGACTGGGTCAAACCAATACTTTCAATGTGGAGGAGGGATACGAGCAGCCCCTCCCAACTCGGACTGATCCTCGTTTTTGCTGAAATCTGATTGGTTCAACGGCCCCGATCAAAGTTTGTTGGAGGTGAACTCGGCAATGTGTGGTGCCGAAGAAATAAGAATTAAGAAGAACATTTTTTGGCCCAACTGGCAGCTAAATGCGCCTAATTAACCGACGACTTGACTGAAAGGTTTCTGTAGCAGGTGAGGCAGGTGTCAGGATTTCCCAGAAGCAGACCGGAGACAGAGAGCAGTTCAGGATGTTTTTTCAAGGAACAATAGGTGGATGGTAAGCACAGTTAGAGGGGGTGGCGGGCAGGCAGAGTGGCAAGGGTTGGGTCCAAGGATCACAAAACCGATGACTAGGGACGGAGAGAAACAAAGTTACTAAGGATCAGAACGACAGACCAACTCAACAAAGCAATTTAACTTGAAGTTGGCTGGTGGGAGTGCACTGGATGACTGGAGGCAGTATAAGAAGGCTGAGGAGCTTGCTTGACGAAGAGCAGGTGAGTGAGTGAACCAGATCCGAGGACACGCCTCCTCTCGCCGACTGTGCAGGGAAAGGGAAGGAGAACACAGACAGACAACACAAAAAAACAAAACACACCAAGCATCCCGCAATTGCACAAAAAGGGAAAAACAAACAAAAGTCAAGGGCCTGGGCCAAGGGTTCAAGACTAGGGGATCGTGACAGCAGGACCCTGCACAGGCAAAGACAGGTGCACGATTAGGAGGCTAATGCATTTACTTAAAAAATATATCCCTATGCATTTATGTATAGGCATACACATTAGGCTATATGTTAGAAAGTCTTAGATCTTTGAGTTCAGCTCATGATGAATGGGGCAAAAACAGAAGTGTTGCGTTTATAATTATGTTCAGTGAATATAGCCTGTATTATAAACAAGAGTTTGCAATGTGTCCTCACACAAAGACACCATCTTTCTAAAAGCAAGGAATCTCTGTATGTTTGTATGTATATTAGCTATGGTCAGTGGAGGTGATAGAGAGAGACAGGGTGATGATGACTCCAGCCATGTTGATGAGAAGGCCGCGGCGTAAGGTAGAAACACCGGGCCCCAGTGCAGGCTGTTATGATGGGCCCTTGGGCTACACCGTTATGAAGCACGTGCACACACACACTGCATTTGTGTCTGGAAGGGAACCCAATATTGGCAAATTTATGTGCCTTGATTCCTCGTTTTGCCACAGTTAACAACTGATAACATTAGATGTGGTAAATATCTAATTTAAAGCTCTTTCCATTTTAACATATTAAATTCAACAGTTCTCTGTGTGCGTCTCTCTCCGACACACACGACGCTGCTGCTGCAGCAGCTGTGTTGCGTCATTTGGAAGACGTTGATTTGAAGATATTTCTCCTTTGTTAATTTCCAGAACCACACACATTCGCTGTTATAACCTGTCGCTGGAATAAATAAAGCATCCTCTCAGAATTGATTCTCTGGCCGGAATCATTTCATCCAGAGTTGTCAGACCCAAACCAAATTGTGTCCTGAGGTCCCCTTCCTCACAATAGCTGTGCCCCCGTGAGAAGGGGGAGAAGGAACAGGAGGAGGGGGTCAATGGAAGGGCTGGCGTAGGTAATCATATGTATAGATAGAATAGAAAAATATTTATTACTGATGTTCTTCTCGTGCATATGTAGCTGCACAATCAGTAAAAGCAGAGTGGGGGCCAGCACAGGGGAAGCTGAGCCAGGGACAGGCCTACTCAGAACTAAAGATATAGAGCTATTTGATTTTTATGCACACATGAACACACACTGCTCTATTTTATGGGAATGCACTGGAGTATTTGTGGATATTTAAGTATTTTAGCACTCTGACTGACTCAGGCCTGACTTGGTCTTGCTTATACAAACTGAGGAGGCAGCCATCCCGAAGTTCCTTGGTCACTGTAATCTGATTCACTGTATACAACAAAAACACTAATATGTATGTATGTAACTTAACTGCAAAAAATATTTCTGCGCGCCACCAGAGGGCGGTATTAAATACTTATGTACTGCTTATAAGTTGAACGTTGTAGTTATGGCTTTAATAATAGATCATTTATATCAGTTATAGGCTATAAGAAGAAAAGAAGAACTTTTGGGTTGCCAGGCTGCGAAAAAAAAAAATGCTAATAATAATAATGATCATAATAATGATCATAATAATGATCATAATAATAATAATAATAATAATAATAATAATAATTATTATTATTATTATGATAATAATATTAATGATGATAACAATAATAATAACAATAACAATAATGATAATATAATAATAATAATAATAATAATAATAATAATAATAATAATAATAATAATAATAATAATAATAATAATAATAATAATGATTAATGTTGGTAATCCATCAATAAGTGCTTTTTAAGTTGTTAATAAAATAGATTTTGGTCAAGATCCCCTGCAATCCTTTCCCAGTAGGTGAGTGATGTACGGTCCAACTACGTAACCCAAAACGTGTTCCTAGTACTGTTAGTTCCTATTAAACTATCCCTCATTATTGCAGAGAAAGTAGTGGCATTAGATACTTTTTAATGTGCATATTACTATTCTGAGCAACATTTACATACATTTATCATACAGATTTGCAATAAATTTGCTTGTATGTTGTTCCTCAAATGTAAGTTGCTTTGGATAAAAGCGCCAAATGAGTAAATGTAAATGTAAAATGTAAGAACTGGTGACTATATATCCTGCTCGACACCCTCTGCTGCAACGACTATTGTTACTAGTCCTATTATTATTATTGTTATTATAATCATTAACATTACGACTGTTACCATTAACACTACTATAAATATCTGTACCATTTTTCATGTAGTCTATAGCAACATCACCTTCACTGTCTGTACCTCTGTGTGGATATTGTGTAGGCTGCCTCCCTCCCCTCTCTCTCTCTCTCTCTCTCTCTCTCTCTCTCTCTCTTTCTCTCTCCCTCTCTCTCCTTCACCCCCAACCGGTGGAGGCAGATGGCCGCCCACCCTGAGCCATGGTTCTGCTCGAGGTTTCTGCCTCTTAAAGGAAGTTTTTCCTTGCCTCTGTCTCCTAGTGCTGCTCTTGGTGGGAACTGTTGGGCTTCTGTAAATAACATCATAGAGTACGGTCTAGACCTGCTCTTTTATGAAAAGCGCTGTGAGATAACTGTTGTTGTGATTTGGCGCTATATCAATAAAATTGAATTGAATTGAATTGAACTATTTGCACATGTTCACTTAGGGGTGTCCTCACTTTTGTTGCCAGCGGTTTAGACATTAATGGCTGTGTGAGGTTATTTTGAGGGGACAGCAGATTTACACTGTTATACAAGCTGCACACTCACTACTTTACACTTTGTGAGAAACTAAAATGACAGAGAGAATCTATGATAAAATAACTACAAGGAGATCTTATGGGAGTCTGAATATAACTAAAAGTCTTTCAACCTGATGTGCTGTTACATACAGGTACATTACAACATGCCACTGAAACAGGCTTAAATCCAAGTAATACAAAAGTCCTTCATCTCTGCATTTTTAAACTATTTCATTCTGGCAAATTGTATTTACAGATTCACGGAGGGGAAACAATAAAGTGGTATTTTGTTAAGCCTTTGTAATAAAGTCATCACCTTTGTTGACAAGTCTTGTTTCATCCATTCCAACTACATTGATCCAGTTATACATAATCTGCCTCTTTAGGAACATTTGTTTTAGAAAATATCTCTAGTTTAATACAGCCACAAATGGCTGACAGCAGGGGTGAGTGTTGCTCTTGAGATGACTACTATATTTGCTACATTTGGACCATTTTGGTCGTTTTAACTTCAGAAATAGTGAAAGAATTTGATGCATTTATATCAGTATGATTTGTTTATTTGCATGCTTAAAGTTTCTTGCTTTTCAGCTACGAATATCTGATAAACACGCTGTAAACTACTAATGAATGACTTGGACTAAACTACTGGAACAAAATATTTTTACCATCACTTCATACTAGAAAGTGAAGCCTTAAAACAATATTCATTTATAGATGGGTCTGTTGTGGTGGTTGGCTGCTCCTCCATTATTTGTTCTGTGCTGTGTTCAGTCGTGTTGTCTGACCGAAGGCCTGTGAAAGAAAAATACATTTATTTAATGCAGTTTTTTGTCTCACTTCAGGCATGGTCACATTACCGCTCCATGACTACACACAGTTCATGAGAGCAATACTACAGTTTGTAGTCAAGTAAATCCTAAAAGATAATCATTTCTTATTGTGTGCAACAAGATAACAAGATATATAATAATTATTTCATGACTTATTTTTTCAAACGTTGTCATTCTTATTAGTAAAGCCCTGGACAAACTTGCTTTTAAATATGCGTTTAAGATGGCTGCCGCCCGTATCCTGCGTTCCTTTTGAGCGTAGGTCTCCAGAAATTAACGCTGCACGTCTGCGAGATGCAGCTCAGCACATGAACGTGGGGGCAGCATGTCGATCTGACCGGCAGGTCAGCAGCGATCTATTGTTCCGCACACCAGCCCAGGTGGTGGCGGGATGCAGTTGGTTTGCCAAAACCACCATTAAACGCAAAAGAAGAAGAAGGTCAGCTGCTGACTTTAAAAAAGGAGATTTATGGCGGGATGTTTACAATAAAACTCCTGGAGCTAGTCTGCAATGACCGAGATCGTTATGACGTCTCTTTAAAATCATAAAACCTCCTTGAGTGTCGCCACGTTTGGTTTATTTACGATGTGCAAAGTAGGCGAGGGATGATCCGGCCCTGATATGCACCCTAGTGGGTTTACGTTTAATCCTCCAGGTACACGCAAAGTACACAGGAAGTGTGTGAACACTGCCGTTTGCGCTGCCGACGCCCGTCTAACGCCTACGCATTGTTAAATGATGACTTAAACGATGACCTCATGTAAATCTCAGCAGAGCTTTACATGAGGTCCAACCTGACTGATCTAATCGGCAACATAACTGAAAACACCTGAGGGTCTGTGGGACCTTAAGTCTATGCAAAGGTTGTGGTGACAGATGGATTGAAATTGGATATGTTGGATTGATTGTCTTTCATACACGATCTGGTGACATCAGACAAACTTTGACCCGTGTAGTTTATGGGCTACGCAAATTACGAAGAAACAACAAAACAGGTAGGTGCCTTGAGATATCCTTGAGATATCCTTGAGATACGCGAGATCCCTGTGTTCAGTGATACGACCTCCGGCTAAATGGCGTATTAGCGTTTTACACTTCAGTAGCACACCTGAGAGAGGTATCGATCTTCCTCTTTCACTCTGCAAAAAAGCCAATTTCCCAAATGTAAGTTAAGATCTAATTTGCTAAGGAGGGGTGAAAACAACCAGCATGAACGCTCATGTAAATAATAAATGATCAGACAATGAAACACCAACACACAGTACCTTTCCAAATCACTGCGCAACAACGACAACCTCCGTGAAAGTCATGGTATCATCTTCCATCTCAAGCATGGCTGCATGAACAACAGTGGGGGTTTGAGGCCTGCAGGCAACTGCAGAAGGATACGCAAGGGCCAACTGGTCAGCCTGCAGATATGTGTTGAGGACCTGCATCTTGTTAGTGAGACGATTATCCACACTTTTTAACTTGCTGTACGTCATCAGGTTCTTGACTTTGCTCTTGGTGCATTTCCTGACCAGCTCCTGGGCTGTGCTCAGAGTATTGGAGAGTTCGGTGAGAGCTCTGTTCACGTTTCCAGAAGTCTGGCTTTGTCTGAGGGAGTGAACCAGCCTTTCCAGATCTCTGACTCGGTCTGCGATATTGCGACAGGTGTCTTTGCAGGTCTGAACCCTACCTGCCATACTTATGATGCCTTTGCATAAGGCCAATATGTTACCAATGTACTCCATGACCAGCTGGAGAAAAAGAGAGAAACACAGTGGAATGAAATGAGTCAAAGGTAAATAAATCAGAGTAAATCCTGTTGAAATGGGAAACACAAAGCACAAGTAACAAGACTGACATTTCCTGAACGGAGATAAACTGATTAAACTACTGAACTCTGATAAAGCGAAACAAAGAAACATTTAATCTGAGCCAGAAGAAAGTATTTATGGATAAGCATTTTATTATTATTTTATTGTTGTTGTTATACATACATATCTGCCAATTTGCATAATGTTCATTCTTAACATATCTGCAACACATTTAATTTGTTATTACAATAAAATAACATTTGGTTTGGATTAGGAATAGATTGAACACAAATCCACAACTTCTCACCCAGTTTCCCAAACATCCTACTTTCAGGTCAAAATGACCATTCAATCTTACTGAAAAACCAAACTTTGCCTTCAGAGAGGACACACAAGCCCTCAAAAACACACACTGTGCAACACAGTCTGACACACTGGTGAGATCAATTCAAAACAATGCTACAAAAACTGGTTCTTAGTAACGTAGCTCACATGATGAACGCAAAAGAAATAATCAAAGTGCATTTGCACATTTTATTCCTTAGTGTGCTGCACAGTACAACAAATTATTCTCCCTCTACCTCCTCCAACTCTTCCTTCACCTCTTACTCCTCCCCACACTGCTCTTCGTCCTCCTCCTCCTCTCTGATGTCCTCCTCCTCTTCCTTCAGATTTCTCTGGATCCATTGTTCCGAAACTGAATGTACTGACTCTGGTCCATTTTATCTCTCTATTCAAGCTTCTGATTGGTGTGTTATCAATTATGACACTTTGTGTTTTTCACCTGGGTAGCTGTCTGCTGACTGAGCTCAACCTGTGCTTTCTCAATGACCGCAGGGTGCAGGCAATGACAAATGAAGGGATTTGTGTGTACAGTTTATGAACACGGGTCTCCATTTTTTAAAAATGGAGTCATGGTTTTGAAATTTTAATTCAATAGCCTAGTGTTTAAGCAATTAGGAAAAACTGTAATGCTTCAACATATGATGATATTTTAGACAACTGTCTAAATCCTGGAACCACAAGAGTGGAGGCTGAACAGACGAATGCCCTCAGTTTGGAAATCACATGTTCAACAATGAAACATGGGTGTAATCTTCAGGCATCCGTGTACTTTTGACCACGTAGTGTACAGGTGCAACTCAGAAAACTTTTCTTCATAAACTAAAATATTTAAATATTTTGTTTTAATCTTGATGATTGCGGCTTACTGTCCACGGAAATCAAAAATATCTTAATCTTAAAATACTAAAGAATTTATAATACAGAAATGTCCCAGGTTTAAATATTTCACACCGTGCATGTTTAGTGCAGAGCTGAAACAACACGATACAGAATGTATTTGATGCTGTCATAGAGTTGAATGGGATCCTTTTAACGACCTTCAAGGTATTTAAGGAAAGAAACGAAAGGAAAACTGTACGTTGGAGGGTTAAAGTAAATCCTAACCTCACGTTACCATTAAAACTGGATGCATCTCCTGTCCAGTCTATCTCGTCTGCCTGGTTTTCATACTAAGAGTCTGATCTCCTGCTAGAATTCATATAGCATCCACACATCTTGGGGCAGAGTTTACTCAACAACGAACTAAAGAAGTGACTACCAAGCAGTACTGTCCACATTCCACAGAAGCAGCCCGAGTGAGTTTGGTATCAAAACAGATGTCGTTTCACAAGCTCAGAGACAGTATTTCTAACCTTTTTCACCATTATCTGCTTTTTCTTATCACCCTGTCTACTTCAATCCCACAAATTACAGCCTTAAAGACAAACTGAAATGTTTTGTCCTTTTGTCAGTAGCGACAGTAGCTCTGTTCATTTACACTTTTTTACAACTGTACATGTCACACGAACTCAAAGAGCGACACCTCCCCTCAAATCTCCAAAACCATTAGCTATTTCTCAGCCTTTCACTCAGTTTTCCACTGCATAAAACACTTTGTTCAAAACACTATGCACAATTCTCTACATCTAACTGGAAGTGACCTGCTTTCCTTTTCCAAACCAGTCAAAATGCTTATTCATCAGGTCACACTGCAAAAATAAAGTATGTTTACTGTAAAGTATTTTGGAAATGTATTCCTACACAATATTTACAGTATTTTACTATTTGTTTGGCAGAACTGAAAGATTACCAACACAAGGTGGTCGGGAACGTCTTGTGAACACGGTCCTAGAAAATAACGCCATAACATTACGTCAAATACAAAATAAAATAATAGAGAGATTTCAGAATATTATAGGCTAAGCTTATCAACACTGGACCGTGTCTTGAGCAGAAATAATGCGAGGATGAAGCAGGTCTTCACGGTGCCATTTGAACGCAATTCAGAATGAGTCAAAGAATTGATGCAACACTGTATAAATTGTCTGAATAATCTCACACAGAAGGTTTACCTGAAGGTGGATGATGATGTTAGGTGTCCCCCGGTTTCAGGTGTGCAGGATGAAGAGAATGAAACTATTGTTGAGCTTTTATACTCTTCATTGTTCCCCGCTGTGGAATCTGAGGCATCTATAGACGCCTATAGTTGTGGGTTCATAGTTGTGGCATCCAGTTTTAATTATAGCCTGTGTGTTACTCTGTTCTGATTTGGGTTTTCTGCGTCAGGTTTCATGGTTCTGTAAGTTTATTTGATCATGTCATGTGTTCCATGTTCAGAGTCGTGCTTCCTGTTGGGTTCTTGTATTTTCTGTCTTTGTTCACAGACTTTGCATCTTGCACAGCATGTGTCTGCCCTGATTGACCTCATGTGTCTCAGCTGTGCTTGACTATCCTGCCCGGTGTGTGTTGTTCTGTGTCTGTGTTGAAGCCCTCAGTTTTGTTCAGTCTTTGTCTTGTCCTCGTCACATGTTCTGTGCTCCCTGCATGTCTTTGTGTTCTCCTTGTTTAGGATTTTTGTCTTTAACCCATGTAAGCCTGTTTAAGTTTTGTTAATAAATCACATGTGTGTTTCTGGTTTCATGTGTCTATTTGCCTCTGTTTCTCTCGTTCCTTGTCCTTAGTTATTTATGTCTTGTCTCTTATCTTAGGTCTTAATCCTGCATTAGTTCTTAGTTCTGTGCTTTAGCTCATGTTTGTCTGTGTACTCCTCTATCATTTTGGCCATGTTTGCTCTGTGTTCTGTTTAATCTTAGTTCAGTCTGTTTTCCCTGTTAGTGGTATTTTATGGTATATTTGTGATCTGTCTGCTTATGGATCAGTTGTTTATATTATTCTGTTTCTTCTTGGTTATCATTAGTTTCCCTATGGCCTAATTGGTGTCTGTCTGTGTCTTCAGTTCTTGTCAGGTCATTGTACGTGTTACACCCTGTCTGTCGTGGCTTCAGTTTCCCTGTCTCGTTCGGTGTTTTGTCCTGTTTATTCCCAGCTCATGTTCCTGCCTGTCTCTTGGAGTTTTGATTACCTGTTTGGATTTCTGTTTCGTTTGCTCATGTGGATTTAATGCCTTTGGATTTTCTGGACTCAGCCACTCAGTCTGTAAGTGTGCTCGCTTTTTGTTTATGGAAATAAATCTTAAGAACTGAATCTGCCTTTTCCCGTGTCTGCGTCTGGGTCCTACCAAACTGTTTCCTGCCCACGAATCTTAACCGTAAACAACTCTAACTCCTCCCACTGAAGGCTTCTGTAAGATAATTGGATGAAAGTATCCTCTAGCCCTCTTGACAAAGTTTTTTTAATGCGATCACAGCACTGACAAAGCTCTTCTGAATGACCTTTGAATGAACACTGACGATGGCACGTGCTCAACTCTGGTGCTGCTGCACGTGAGTGCTGCCCCTGATACAATTGACCATGGTTTTGCAAGATGGACTGAGGCACTGAGTAGGCATTTGTGGGACTGCATTGATCTGGCATGCATAATATCTGTGAAATAGGACGTTTTGACTATTTTAAGTCATGTTACTCCCCTTTCCTGTGCCTGAAGGATGTTTTTTTTTAACAATTTTGTTCTCCATATGCTCCCCCTGGTTTATATAATACACAGACACGTTTTTTCTTTACATTGTTAAGGAGATGATACACAATTGTACCTCCCTGAGAACAACACTGACCTCAGTATGCTAAATTCCTTACAGGACTGCTTAGCTGAAAAAATTGGATGTCTAAAAAAAAAAAAACCAACAAGACAGAAATCCTTGCTATTGGACCCCAACATATTATGAAATAAATACGACCATCTATTGGTCACCTTTCACAGCATATAAAGCCTGTTGCAAGAGGTCTTATTCTATTTGAGAAACTCATCACTAAGCCACCTTAGAAATATTGTTAAAATAATTGAATAGAATCTTTATTGTCATTGTAATTTGTTTGTATTGTCATGCAATCCGATCAGTGCAAACAGGTAAAACAGGTAGCTGGTGTACATGCCCTTATTTCCTCACACTAGGACTATTGCAACAGTTATTGCATCTCTTATCTTGTCTTAATCAAAAAACCTTAAAATGACTGTAAAGAATTCAGTGGCTCAGCTTTTAATCAGACCCAAGATGTATGATCACATTACGGCAGTAGCCTCTTTAAATTGGCGCCCTTTTTATTTTAAAAAACAAGTTGTTTTTCCTTTGAAACCAAAAGGAGACTTGTTGCTGCCACTTTTATGTCAGTGCTGGACTATGGCAATGTTAAATACATTCATGCATCCATTCAAAGCTTGAAAGTGTTGGATACTGTTTACCATGGAGCACTGAGGTTCATTACAAACATTGGCGCCCTTACAAATCTACATCCAGGACTAATGTATGGGAAGATACTGTCTTCATTCTAAGGACTATCGTTCCCTCAGGGCTGTGTAAGTATGCTGCCCCTTTTGCTTGGAATCAGCTGATGTGGGGAATATTAAAGAAATTATGATTTATTGTAATTTACTATTTATACCTACTGGAAAATGTTATTTTTGTGTTGTTGTATGTCTCAATGTCTGCAACCTTGTTAATTGTGCTGCTGCCTGTCTTGGCCAGGACACATTTTAAATCTCAATGATGTTTTTTCCCGGTTAAGTTCTTTTTGGATATTCTTATAACTCTCTCTCCATGCCTTTACTCCAGATTATAGTTTAGAACTTTTAACTATTCAGGGATGGGTCTCCTGAGTCAATGTCGTCTTTTAAGTCTTATCTAAAAACCCACTTTCATCAGATAGCTTTTCCTGATTTTATCTGAGCAACCTGTTTATTTTACAGGTTTTATCTTTTTCTATATCTAGTGAAATTTTATGTTATGTTGTTTATTTTTTCATCCAAACTGGTAGCAGGCTACAGCTCAGACAACGTATGATCCATACTAAATTCATTAATCTTGTAGCAATCCAGTTTCCCGTAAAGTTTCCAGTGTTTAGGGTGTGAACACAGCTTGCTGCACTGAACAATGTCTGTGGCGCTGAGCTGTCACTCAAACACTCACTGGCCCCTGAAAAACCCGTCCACGAGAGACGTTTGTGTCAAAACTGCAAGCAGTGGGTGTGTTTGAGATGACTTCATAGTCAAACATAAGCTGTAGGCGAGTGAAGAGGTGGGGTGTAAAAACACTGACGTCAAGTCAGACACATTCTTCTTCCCATAGAGGGTGTGAGCGTAGCCCCATCCACACTTCTCCATTTTAGTTTAGAAAAGGAGAATTAAAACGAATACGATCTCCGTCCACACCAGTGTTTTAGCTGCATATCAGAGTTGATCTGTATTAAAACAACTGGAAACGCACATCTAGTGGACGTCCACGTACACTGGGCATGTGGGTGCAAGTGTAAACATGAAGCTGCTACTCCATAGTTACAGATCTGGCGAAGGGAAAAAAAAGTAATGCAGAAGAAGAACCGCACCACACAACTGTTACTGAATGTAACAGGGGGGTTAAAAGCGGCTGTGGTGGCGGAAAACAGACTGGGAATCGTAAAGGTAAACGGCGACACAGTACAAGTGTAGGCTATAGTTATTATTTGCATGGTACAAAGTATATTAATAAAAATACACTGTGAAAACCTCTGTCAGCAGCATCCGGTAATTAGAGAGCCAATCGTGAGCGTCTGCGTCATCGTTCCTGAAGTCCTCCATTTTTCCCGTCTCCAATAAAACGCTCTCCGGAGTTTCAAAAACGGGGTCGGCAGCGTTTTCAAACTTCTCCTTTTCAGGTCTTCGTTTTCGCCGTTTTAGTCTGGACGGGAGGAGCAAACGTGGCAAAAGGTCTCGGTTTTAAAACGAAAACGCAGTAGTGTGGATGGGGCCTTAGAATAGTGACTGATCCTGCAGCATTTGCCGTATTTGTTGCAAACTAAACAAATGCATTCGAAATCCTGTCTTTTTACACAAGGAATATCATGAATCCAAAGATGTTTTCTTTCTCCTGATCTAAGTGTTTTGTAAGCTTACCAAAAAGGGAAACATTTGTTTCAACTTTTGAGATTATTATTATTATTATTTTTGTTTCAGTTAATTTTATTCTCTCTCCAATTCTTAGTTTTTGTTTGATTTTTTTTAAGAGGATTTGTTTGAATAAATTGGCACAAATATGATTCCTTTAACACATATGATTGTAATGTTCAGGTGTCTGTGTATTTTTGACCATGTAGTGTATGTATTAAAGGAGTGTCAACAAAGTGAAAGTACTTTAACACACATTAACATACTTTACCAGTTACAGTAACAACATGCTAGATGATCAAGTCATAAAGCATCTACTCAAAATCTATATAGCTTCTCAGAATTGACGTACACGCAGTACTGCCCACATTCCACAGAGACAGGCCAAGTGAGGTCTGTCAAAACAGATCTGGTTTCACACATACATTTTATTATTGTCCTGTGTACTTTCAGACAAAACATTAGTCTACGCAGCCCTAAAGAAAAACAAGAGCTTGTCCGAACCTTTGTTGACTCCATATAGTTTTAGTTGAAAGTTTTATCCCCGTCAGACAAACTGACTAAAAAGTAGGTTACATATACGGACAAACAACGTAAAGTAGTTTTCATTTAATAGTCAGTCTGGCGTAGCAGCAGGGCTTCCGCACAGAGAAAATACAGGGTCGTCAGCAAAAAAGTTAAACATGGCTTAACTTTTCTCAGCACAATCGTCAGGACAAAAGATAAAATAATTGCTCCTGTAAAAAACAAACAAAAAAACCCATCTTTTGTGCTGTGTACACAGATTCAAACCAACAGGGGCACAAAACACAAGTTCCACCGATGATAACGACTAGATTTTCTTCAGTGTGGGCTGAACTGGATAGGAAAAACGCCAACAATAATACCCCAAATTAATCGGGAATAACTCCTCAACCATTAGGCCTAGGTGCAAAATTCTGGTCTCCCTTAATAGGTCAGAAACTAAGGAATATGAATCAACTAAATGAACCTATATATTTTGCTATTAAAGAGTAAATGGAAATACAATAAAGGAAAATATATTTTCATCCTTGCCTCGTGTAAAATGTATATTTTTAACAGCAACCCCGGTACCGGGGGCGATGGTGCTCTGGGCAATGATAATGATTGATGATTGATTTTTTTTTTTCGCCGTTTTAACTCCGAAACCCGCCGATGTTGTTGCTCCGAGTCTAAGCGGGCGCCATCTTGATTATTGCGCAATACCTGCAAGCTGCCTGCCTGCTGTCGTCTTTTCTGCAGAGAGGAAACATGTTGCTTGAGAACATACGG